CCAACAAACAAAGCTGACGTACTTCATTTTATTTCTCTGTATATCTCCAAATGCTGTCCAGAAAGACAGAGTTTGAAAATAAGAGCTAAAACAGGCTCTTTCAACTGTCCACCTCGCCGCACAGAAGTTCGTTAGTTATTGTAACTAGGTGACGTCATTTCCGCAAATAGTCTGATATATTGCAATGCGAGCAAATTATTTATTATTATTTTTAAGGTTTTCATGGTTTCTTGCACTGCTATTTTGTTACAAATAACGAAGCTGTGATAGATGTGTAATGCATCCACTCCCACATAATGTTGAATAAAAGAAACAGTTGTGTTGATTCATTTTTTAAAATGTATTTATTTAGGAAACCTGTAGGCCTAATGTTTTTTTCGGGATTCTTTGATGAATAGCAAGTTCACTACCGTTCAAAAGTTTGGGTTGTGTAATTATTTTCATTCTTTTATGAGAAAGAAATTAATACTTTTATTAATCAGCAAGGATGTGTTACATTGATAAAAAATTGATAGTGAAGACATATTGTTAGAAAATATTTATATTTTTAATGTATATTTTGAATGCCGTTCTTTTTAACTTTTTATTAAAAGAATCCAGAAAAAAGAATCACAGCTTCCAAAAAAAAATATTAAGAGGCACAACTGTTTCCAACATTGATGTGACACTGAAGAGTGGTGTAATGGCTGATGACCCCAGTTTGAAAACCCTTGCCATAGATGTCCCATGTATGTATGAATGAATGAATAACAAATGCCTTAACAACATTATTACATTAATATCAATACATTAAAAAGAAGAGAACGTTAAGAATATTTAAATGCTATTAAATGCAAGTCAATTTAAATCTTTAATGTCTAATTTTTAGTGTCTAAATATTGTTTTGGACTAAATTGCATGTGATGCATTCATTTATTTGTTTATGTCAGTGACTAATCAACCATCTCTAACCAGGTGAGCTGCATTTTTATAATTTTCTTTGTAATATCACTCAAGCTGTTAAACAAGCATTAACTGTGACCATTGTACATGTTTATTGCTGCTGCTGCCAACTCATTCCTAAAGGCTGGCATTCTGCTAGATTGTGGGCGTGCAGCACATAACATTCCCTCAAAGCCTCTTTCATGTTTGCTTGGCACAAGTGGCATGGCAGATCCATCATCCTCACACCAGGCAAAGGCCAGACTTGTAAATCCACCATCCCTATTCAGATGCCACCCTCTGCTTCTAAAATAAATGTATAATAAGCTATTGTAAAATAGGTTATTTGTACATGACCAATTAAAGGACAATGCAGAGCTGTGCAATAGCGTTTTTACCTTTTCAGTTTTGTTTAACGTAATCTGTGACAGATAATTCTGCAGCAAAGAACAGAAACATAATTTGAGAAGTCAGTAGATGCAAAATAACCATAAACTCATAAGCATGAAGGAAGAAACAACAACACAATCCAACAAAAACTTTAGTGTAATTTGTCTTTTACGAACCCATTTCAACTTCAAATTAACAGTTCGATTTTTTTTTCTCACGTAAGACAAGTACAATTTTAGGAAGACCATAATGTAAACTGTTTCTTTATCTTTATTAAATCTACTTATTAAAGCAGAGTATCTCTGATGAACAAAGTGCGTACGGGTGGAACTGCACAGCTTGTTCGCGAGCTAGGAGGATTGATGCAGTCACGTGATAATGACCGCCCATTCTTGATCATGATTGGTCGGTATCAAAGAACCACGTGGTCTAAACAGCATCTGCACTTCTGCTTTTCCATTGTACTACATTGGTCTGTGTGCTGTGTTGCAGAACACTTCTGATCAACAGTGGAGTGACTGTGTCACGCCCAGTTAAACTTTTATACGGCATATTCTTTGTGAAATCATCCAGACATCAGCTATGTTTTTGCTTGAGACAGAGTCGGTGAGTCAATTTAATTAATTGATACTATTATGGGCATGAAAAGAAAGCATCATGTTTAACTAAGTAGTAAAAAAAATCTGTTTCAAGCATTTAAAAAACGAGTCATTATATTTGTCAATTTTAAAACTCATAACGCGCTTTAAAACTTTTATTAGAAAACGGTAAGTCTTAAGGTTCAAATGTTGTTTCTGTTTCATTACATATACATTCAGCTGGACTGCATGAGTAACCTTTTTGAAAACGGGTATGCGGTGAATGGAGGTTTGAATGGTTCCGGACAATCTCCTGCGCATCTCGCGGCATGCGGAGGGCAGGCTTTCTGCTTGCTTTGGCTGCTGCAAACCGGTGCTGATGCAAACCAGCAGGTACAAAGTCTTTAAAACCGTCCCCTATTTAAATCAGCAGTAGTTACTTAGGTTTGTGTTGATGATCATGGTATTCCTGTAAGGTAATCACTATGTCCAGCCTTTTCGCATTTTATTTTTCAACTTTTTATGTGATTTTCTTAAGGACGCGAGTGGAGAGACACCCATGCATAAAGCAGCCAGAGCGGGCAGTTTGGAGTGCATCAGTGTGCTGATGGCAAGTGATGCACATTTCGAGTAAGTGTATCGTTTCATAGTTCCTGTTTCAAGCATTTGTTTGACAGAGAGAAACTGCTAAATATTCACAATATTTGCATATTTAGAAACTAAAATTATAGTGCCATTCTTGGTATGCAGTACATGTACATTTATTGTCCCAATCATTTTATAATCTTATTTGTTTGGAAATCATATTTTTATTTTATTTCAACACAGTAGCCCATCACATGTTCGTGAACATAGGAGTTAACATTAGTTTAACATGCTATCTTCACTTTTTTTTCCTCCCCTTGAGAATATTGTTTTATTTGGTTATCATTTTAAAGATTTTTCATATACTCAATATCACTTTTTTGGTATTCTATCATTTTTTAAAAATATATTATCTTTGGTGTCGCTTCTACAGTGTATTCAGTAACATATATAATTTGGTTTGTCTCACTTCAAAACATTCATAGAATCTTATGAATTACAATAATAATATAATATTAATATTTTTATTTTATGTATAAAATGTTAATTTTAAAAGCTATCAAAATGTGTCAAAAGACATGAATGGTAGTGTAAATAAAAATAATATTTTACATCTAAACATATAAAACATATTTTAATAAGTTTAAGGTCATTAAGATTTTTCTAATGTTTTTAAAAGTAGTCTCTTATGCTCACCAAGGCTGTGAAATATGATTACATTTATGATTACAATCAGTGTTGAAAACAGTTGTGCTGCTTAATATTTTAGGGAAACAGTGATACATTTTCAGATTCTTTGACTTTGTTTTTTTTTTACTTATTTAGCCTATTTTGTAAGTGTGACAGTCTTTACCGCCACGTTTGTTGAATAAAAGTATACATTTCCTTCAAAAGAAAAAAAAAATCTTACTTTTAATATCTAAATCAGCTTGACACCGCTCTCTTAAAAATAAAGGTTCTTCATTGGCATCAATGATTCCACAAAGAACCTTTACCATCCATGGAACCTTTTCATTCCACAAAAGATTCTTTACACTGAAAAAAGGTTCTTTAGATTATTAAAATGTTCCAATTTCTTTACTGAAAAATGCCTATCTTTAGCTGTTAATTTTATTACAATTGTTTATATAATCAATCCAAAGGCACAGTTAATACAATTCTTGAGATTAGATAGACATACATAGGCATATTAATTTTCAAAAGAGCTCAAACATAACAGGAATGCTCCTGTGTTTACCTGTTAAAGCAAACATCATCCTCAACAACTATAACCATCTTATGAATATAAACACTTCTCTAATTAACTATTTCATTTTCCACTCAGCATTTGCAACAACGGTGGACAGACAGCCGAAGATATTGCATGGTCTTGTGGGTTTGAGGAGTGCGGGAGGTTTTTGAACATGCATCGCAGAACACGAGACTCAAAGAACGCTTCTTTATCATCCCTCACTGAACGGCACATACTGAGCAGCACTCTCGCAGGACAGAAGAGAGGCTGCGAATGCTCCAGCGCTCAAGACGGAAAAAAAGCACGGGACTGGTGATGAATGTTCTCAGAGAGAGAGAGAGAATTTGAAGTAACATATAGGCTGTTTAACCATAACTGGTGTGAATGGTAAACAGAAGTATCAGTATGTCATCAAGAGTCTGAATTACCGGTGGACATTTGGTATTGAGCCTATACTGTTGCCTCAGCAGTCAAGATAAATTGACACCGTTCTGGGGTCAGTGATTTGGAGTCTTAAGTACAATAGTAATGACTGACACTAGTACTCCAGAACGGTTCAGAGCCATGCTCCATACATATACCTGCCAACACAGAGCAGACAGGAATCAAGGAAAAAGCAGAGAATTTTCTTTGGGGGAGACTTGTGGGTTTCTCACTGGAAAAGTGCAACATTTAACTTGGATCACATGTGTGTTGTGAAGCAATCATATAAAAACTCTGATGGCACTGAAATGCTTTCAGAGTTTTATGACAGTGTATAAATATGTGGCTGCAAAAGAGAAGAGAGCTGACTTGCTGCCAAGCTTGGCTAATCAAGACGTTCTTAATAAGGCAAGATTAGTTAAGCAGAGGTTCAAGTCTCCCCAAAGGTCTCTGAGAAAAGTTAGAGACCCTCACAAAGTCAGAGACTTTGCAATAGTCAATGACTAAGGAAACATTTGCCATTTTAGGAAGATATTTTAGCTGCGGTTTCTTTTTATTGATTTGCAGGAAGCCTTATCTTGTGTAGACGGTTCAAAGATATCTTGTGAATTTAATGTCTGATGAACTGGTAAAAGTCTCGAGGATATGTCGTCATTAATATCATCCGTTTGCAGCCTGACTGAAAATCATGCGAGATGTTTCTGAAATGAATGTAACCTTTAGCGTGACTGAAAACGGATGTTACAATAGGCATGGACATGTAAAACATTGTAAGGACAATGAGTAATAAATCACTTTTTTGTGACATGTCGGTTTGCATTTCCACATGAGACTTCCTGTGTATCCATGAACTTAGTATGAATAAAAGTGGATAAGTGTCATGCACGTGACTCAGATGGTCTTGGGTCTCTGGGGAAGGCAGAGGTTGTAATAAGCATTTTGATCCCAGAACTCTGGCCCCTTCCATCCACACCAGCCCTGAAAAATATACAAACATCATTAACAAATGAGTTGTTAATTCTGAACAAGTAAGTGATGTTTTAAACCATGTTACACTTTAAATCCCATGTGTGTCTGGGTATAATAAAATAACTTATAAAAGATTATTGTTGTAGTAGTTTGTTTATTATTAAAGTAGCTTGTTATCATTAAGACAGAATAGAACCATTTTATATTTATTTATTTTTAATTAAAATGAAATGGTCTGACTAGAGTAGTGTTGTCAAATGTACTTTGTCAGTGATGGTCTGCAGGTCCTCTCCACCAGTATAGTGAGGGTCCAAGATAAGAAAGCGTATTTGTCCAGTGTTCTCACTCCATGCTACGCCTAAAATGGTGTGTGCAAGTACTCCGCCACCTGGCAAGAAAAATATTGGCTTTATTTTTCAATTACCATTTACATCTAAAGATAGCAAAACAAAAAAATGCATAAAAAACAAGCTACCTATACTACAAAAGTATGAGGTTGTTTTTGAAAGAAGTCTTTCATGCTCAACAAGGTTACATTTATTTGCTCAAAAATACAGTGAAAGCAGAAATACTGTGAAATATTTTCCATTAATATATTTTAAAATGTCATTTATTCTTGTGATGGCAAAGCTGATTTTTCAGCAGTCATTACTCCCATCTTCAGTGTCACATGATCTTTCTAATATGTTGAATTTGGTGACCAACAACCACTGCTTATTACAATGTTGAAAACATTTTTTTTTCAATATTTCTTGAGAAAATAATAGAAGTTAGAAAAGAACAGCAAACCTCAAAGTTTTGAACAGCAGTGTATAAGATACAAGTATGTTAGATCAGATGTCGATTATGGGGTGAACCTTGCTCCTATCCAATCACAAGTTGTAGGAAGGCGCTAAACAATGTTAACGCACCAATCATGACAGGAGTTCCTTCGGTCTGAAAGTGGTTGGCCAGCTCTCTGCCCTTGGTTGTCAGCTCTGATCCCTGACTTTAACAGAAAGACAATCATTTTTATAATTGAAACCATTCAGAAACTTTTATTGTAAATCTATGTTAGCACAGGCTTGCATCAGCTTTAGTTCAACTTAAAGCTGGAATACCCTACAGGGCTTGCCTAGATTTTTGCCCTGATATCTGATTTGGAGCAAATTTGTCGGAGTTGACAGATTTCACAAATTCTCAGTTTAGGCATGCAGTCAAGGATATCAAACATGTTTCATATTTTGAGCTCATTTTAGACCACATATTTTGTGTGTGTCTGGTGCTGTGTGATCCTTGTTTCGTTGTTTAGTGTATGATACCCAGAGTTGTAATAATTTACAAAGAAGGCAAGTGAATGATGCCTAGTGTTTTAAAATGTGTTTAAAATATGAGTAGTGTATTCCAGCCTTTAACCAAAATTCATAGCCTCTTGTATGCAGTGGTATATGGAAGAAAAAAAGGTGTCCAGTTTTCAGAATCTACTCCAATATGATCTGTTGTGGCCATTAAAGAGGAAAAACGTATTACCACCCTAAACAATAAACAAACATTAAACACACTTTGTATACCTGACAAACATGATCTTTGAGGTGACCCCCAGCAGCTGGTTAAGGACAGCCTGAACTTCGATGGAGCCAATCCACTGACGTGAACCCACAAATCGTGGCTCTTTATCCCCAACATCCACAAGAGCCTGAAAAAGTAACAAATGTTCCTCTTAAATACATATAACAAGTAAGCACATCCCATTGAATGACAATTTTGTTTACCTGCTGGATCTGCGTGTGTGTGGGCACAGCTGTCTCCACATATCCTTGCTGCTGAAACCAGGAGCAGATAGTCTGAAGGGAACGATATGCACATCCCCAGCCATCATCATCCACACGATCCTGCATGTAGTGATGATAACTGTACACACCCTGCACCAGATACAGCTACAGAGAGAAAAACAAGACAAAGACAAGAGTGTTAATGGTTCAACTTTACTTTTGGCATCAAGAGATTTTGCTCTTTAAAAAGTGCTCATGAACATATTAAACCACCTTTAAAATGGGTAGTTCACCCATAAATGAAAATGTTGCCATCATTTGCTCACCACCCATGCAATTTTCTTTGGCATTTATCATCAATTATGTAATTCTTTAAAGTAACAAGCCAAATGTGCCATTGGGAAGATCTGATTCTGATCTGTTTCTTATTTAAAACTATCATTTAACTTTAAAAGTTTTTGACCATAATTTAAAAAAGTAGTATGGAACATTATGTATACTGGCGTATTTTTTGTAGCTTGAACTGTCTCTGTATAAAAAAAGAGCAGTGTGAACTTTTTTTTAATATTATCCTTTTGTGTTCTACAGATAAAAAATAAGAAATAAATAGTAACAATAAGATAACAGATTTGGAACAACTGAATTTAATTTGTGGGTGAACTATTCCATTAAAGCACAGTCTCACCTTAGCATCCTCAATGTTGGGTGGGTTCAGGTGTATGTGGGGATTGCGGAGGTAACCGTCTTTATAGGCTGCATCAGGGAAATGAAAGGCATTGGCACGTCTCAGGTATGGCCTGTCACTTGGCAACTTAAACCTCTTGTGCAGATCCTACACACAAAGGAAGTTTACCTGGTTTAGAGAGCACTCATGTGAGTCACTAATAAATAGCAATTCTTAGGATTAAAATATTGTTCAAAAGTCTGAGGTCAGCAAGTTAATTTTTTTGAATAGATGGGTCCAGGCCTCTTATGCTCACCAAGGCTGCATTTTTTGAACAAAAATACAGGTAAAAACAGTAATAAAGTGAAAAATTATTACAACTTAAAGTAAATGTTTTCTTTTTTAGGAAAGTTTAGAATGCATTTTATTCCTGTGATGACAAAGCAGAATTTTCAGCAGCCATGACTTCAGTGTCACAAGATCCTTCCGAAATCATACTAATATGGTGATTTGGTGCTCAAGAAACATTATTATTATTATTGTTATCAACGCTGAAAACAGTTGTGCTGTTTAATATTTTTGTGAAAACTGTATTACATTTTTTAAGGGTTCTTTGATGAACAGACAGTACAAAAAATGTATTACTTTAATTTATTATTATTAAAATATTATATATATTTTTTCAATTTAATGCATACTTGCTAAATACAAACATTTTTTTTTTTTTTTTTAATTTTTAAATTTTTAAATTTTATTATTATTATTATTCTTACCGACGCTAAACCAGGAGTGTCTAAACTCGGTCCTGGAGGGCCGGTGTCCTGCAGAGTTTAGCTCCAACTTGCCTGGAAGTTTCAAGTATGCCTAGTAAGACATAGGGGTGTAAGAAAATATTGATACACGCGAGTATTGCAATATTTTGTTTGGTGATACTGTATCGATTCTCAAAAACAAAATATCGATATTAAAAAAAAAAAAAAGATTGTTTTGAGTTTATTTCCCGACCACTATAGCAGTCTTCATCTCTGAACTTAAACATTGACAGGAAATACTAGCATTAGGGCACGGCACTAATGTTAGCGTTAATATAGTTCACTGCTAGTAATGGAGGACGAAAGAATTGTTCCAGCTCCTGTTTCGGTGTACAAAGCTGAAGTGTGGCATCATTTGGGTGAAATCCAAGTTGAAAGGTTCAACATCTGTATTTATTTTATTGTTTTACATTTGTTTTGTTTTCTTTAGGAATCCTGCAAGCACTTTATTTTTCATTGATATTAAGCAGATGTAATTCTTTTGTTCAGATCAAAATGTTATGGCATTGTATGTTTTGTAAACTTAACTGTGAACTTTTAAAGCAGGGTCTAAAAATATATGGCCTTTCTATAAAATAAATTTTATACATAGGCCTATTATAAATTTAACTAAAGAATCCTGCAATCACTTTAATTTTTCCCCCTTTACTCGTACTGCACAAAAAGTGGTTTAGTACCGTTGAATGTTACAGGGACTGACTGCAAATGCAGATCCCACTGTGTTCTGGTTAAATAATTTATAATAATTTATTTATTTCTAAGGTTTGCATATGGTGGTGTGTTCTTAATGACAGCTTTCCTAAAATTATATCCTATTCCTAAAATAAGAAATAACCCAATATATCACCTTGCTTATAGTATCGCAACCCCTGTATCGTGATATGTATTGTATCGCCAGATTCTTGCCAATACACAGCCCTAGTAAGACATTGATTAGCTTGTTCAGGTGTGTGTTATTAGGGTTGTATCTAAACTCTGAAGGACACCGGCCCTCCAGCACTGAGTTTGAACACCCCTGTGCTAAACCTTTGAACGTAGTACATGTGCTCATGTCTTGCCTCTCTGGCATCCTGTAGCTGGCTGTCTGGCACTCCTGCAGGGTAGATTACAGTAGTGAACCCAGCTGGTTCAGGCAGTTGAAAGTGAAATGGCTGTGGCACCAGGAAAGAGGAGCCCTTCCTGTATCGTAGCACCACCTCTTCCATGTCTGCCAACTGCTTATTTAATGCCTCCACCAGCCCTGTACACACACTGAACAATCACACACACACACACACAAACAATGATTCTGCTGTACTTCACAACTCTGCAATTAGCATTAAAATCATAGCAGTAAAAACACTTCCTTACAAACCTTATGATTTTAAGAGAACCTGAGCCAAAAAATTTTTAAAAATGCACTCACGTTGTCAGGCTCTCATCAGTGGTCACAGACAGAACACAGTCTAAAGGCAGTGGCATCTTCACACAATGCTGCTGTGTGCTCACTCTGATGAGACTAGGAGCTTCATTCCCAGCAGGTTCTGTGACCTCAAACAACAGCTTCATATTCACTACGGTCTAGATAAAGATGGACAGCAGAGAGTTACTGTTAGAGTGACTGTTAACGGTTACTGCCTTTCAAATACTCTAGAAAAAGACTCTCACAGGTCCAGATTTTTTCTTATCTTTCTTTTTTGATGACTTCTTGCTCCCACTATAATCTAACCTGTGAATAGCAATAAGGAAGTATTATACTTTGTTAACATCCTTACTGTGCATACAGTATAATACTCTACATTTACCATATACAAACATTAAAGATATGAAAGGCGTAAGAATACATACTCTATATACTGCAGAATATCTCCACATGATGATGCTTCTGTCAAGCTTTCCACGTTTGACTGGAAACCAGTGTTAGGCCATATTAATACTGGACTGTTACAGACAGTTAAAACAATATTTTTGGATGATACTTTGGATTGGAGACCCTGGAAACTTTTTGATATCGTGCCTTGACTTTGTGCACCTGCAAGAAGGGAACACAGAGACTCTTTTTCTCCTTTCATAACCAGCGTATATGCTTTCATAAAAGAAAGTTAATTTTAAAAATTCGAAGTTTTACAAATCAAGCTCATTCTTTTAGAATTTGAGCTTTACCATTTGGGTTGTCAAGCTGGCAAGCAAACTCCAAGATTCCTTTCAATCGAAATATAATGTCACACTCTTCTGAATGAACCTGGGGAAATCAAAACACACATCATTAACTACATAAGATTCAAATAATTGAGCATATAGTTCTTGCTGTTCGTTACAGTAAGTAATTCTCTCTGAAGCATGTGTTGACAAAATGCTAGTTCATACTATATTAATATTGTATGCAACTATGGTTTCACGAAAAAGGCGTTTTGTTTTCAACAACAGTTTGTTTGAAAATAGCTTATTACCATTTTAATTCCCTCGATCAATGATCAAATTCAGCTGCTGTCACCAGGAGGCTGACATATTTGATGAAGTATCATAACGCGTCCGCATCTTCTTCGCGTAAGTTGATTTCGTGTCACAGGGAAAGTACAGTCTCGTACTGCCCCCTGCTGACCTAAATGTGACTGCTCAATGTGTAAATGATCCAAATACAGGACCATGACAAAAAAAATCTACTGTAGCCTACTGTACTACTTTGCCATTTTAGAAATTGATTGTAAGTAAAGAAAATACAGAATTATTATTTGTTTTTCATAACAAGTAATTTTGCTTGGGAATGTTTATTTCATTTTTTTTAGACTTCAACAGTAAAAAGAAACAATAGTTGTGGGAGAGAGAGAAAAATGGCAAAAACAGTTATGAAACCATGACAATAATATCTAATATTTAATGACAGAATATTGTTAATGAAGTGTTTATCAGATCAGATTATTTTAGAAGGAATAATAATGATACAAAATAAAATAACAATTGAATACAATTGAAAATAACAAAAAGCAGCCTCTTTACTCTTACACTTTTACTGGCTATTATTTCAAGTTAACATATGAAATCTCTGTTTCAGGAACCATTCAGTTCTCTGATATTTTTTCCAGGTCTTTGTATTTCCTCGTTCTTCATGGATCTAAGTCTTCAAATTGAACCTTTATCTGCTATGTTGTGTCTTCTCCTATCATTCAAAAATAAAGTCAACTTGTAAGTAGTAAACAATCGAAATTTTCATCAGTTTTACTGTTTGTTTCAACTAGTTTTCTTACCTGGATGCTGAACTGGTGGGCTTTACTGTGGTGGACTGTAAAGCAAGGCTCTCAGGGGTTTCCCTGAGACCGGCAGCTTTGTTGTTTTCTTTCAGCTGCATTGAGATGATGTTAGTAAGGCTGATATATTCCTTATGGAGCCTCTTTACTTCCTGCCGCAGCAGATTCCTCTCAGTCTGCACAGTGAGCAGGCAGCACTCTAGTTCATCCAGCTCCTCCTGAACTTTCTCTGCTCTACTTTCAGCATCTTTTATGACCTGACCGCTGTGGTCGAGTCTCTCTCTTAGAGTCTGGTTTTCCTGTTGTAGCTGAGTTAGGATCTTCCTCTCTTCGGTTATTTCTGCATCCTGTTTCATTCCATGAGATTTCCTGACTGGTTCTATTAAGTTATGTACCCTCTCTTGGAGCACAAAGACTGTTTCTCTAAGCTGCTGCTTCTCCTGGTGTTCACGGCATGGGAGTCTCTCCAGATCTTCAGACTGAGGTCTGTCCTGCTTTAAGACCTCTGTAATTCTTTGCCTCATTTGTTGGTTTTTAATGAGAAGTTGCTTGTTCTTCGTATCCAGGTCTTTGTTGATGTTTTTAAACTCTTTAAACCTCTTCACAAATCTCTGCAGCTCTGTTTTGCATTCTCTTGAATAGGTCTCCATCTTTTTAAGCTTCTTCTTAACTTCTAGGTTTTCCTTCTCTAACCGTGTCCACTTTTCTAAATACCCCTCAAATGGACACTTACGGGTAGCACAGCTTGCTTCTTGTTCTTTCTTATTCAAGCTATCCTCCTTAAGACGCACAGTGCCTTTAAGGTTTGTGGTTGCTTGAGACTTGATGTCCATAGCCTGGGCTCCTCCTGCTCTTGTTTGCATGGAAGGGTTAGAATTTAACCCACATGGTGAACTACCGTCTGAAAATCTGGACTTCTCCATGATATCCGTGGCTTTAAGAGATGTGTGTCCTTTATCAGGTCTATGTAGAGCTATTTGCTTTCGCCTTCACCCTGTTCACTGATACAAGAAACTTCTTTCCTTTTGTGTCCGATTCCTGAAAAGGATAACCTTATTTACCTCAATTTAGAATAGCAACCATTTGAACCGATTTTAATTACTAAAAACAAGAAATATATATACAATATCATTAACTGTGTAAACCAACCAACAAACAACTTGATTCAACCGAGTAAAATTAATCGAAGGTCCGTTCACAGTTCACACCAACAATACAAATAGCCTAAAGATAACTAACCATAACGTTATTAGTTTATAACCAAGGTTTTATTTAATATCTATAAATATCTATAATATAATAAAAGGAATAATATTAACAGAGCAGGAGTAAATATACATTTATAACCTATTACCTATTACTTAGGCTAATTATTACTTATGTAGCTAACATTATGCAAGATGCCAACTCACTTTATTAGGCTATACCATTTATTACCTAATAATTTGTAATATTCGCCTCATTAGGTTATCCTGATTCTATCTGTGGGTGAAAAATACATTACCGCGAAGTGGAAGACACTTTGATAATTCGCTTAGGCTTCTTGCTTCGACTCACATTTAGGCCTACATTAATTAGAGTGTATCTATGGTAACATGCTAGTCTCCTCTCGTGCGGTTCGCGTCACTGCAGTAGCCTACGTCGCCTCGTGACCTTTTGTTCTTCTTATTTTTTTTTTTAATCAATTGAAGATATTAGCCGCGCGTTAGTTCAATATTGTTTCATTTCCTGTATGACCAAAGGGTAATTTTGACCATCGGTCGATTTGAGTATACAAATTGTTAGGTTCAAAACTTACATGATCCCTGTAGCTAGCTATAGATCCTGCACCTGCTGATCGATTAATTAATATACAGCATGCAGCCTATTGCAAATATTTTTGTTATAACAGCAATTTTTGTAATATTTTTCAGCTTCTGCAACATCCATGTCCAAGTTGCCTGTAAGAGGCAACAGTGAAGAAGTATACAGAAATGAAGGGCATGATTGAGGTAAATGTGATAGATGGAGAAAACAGAATGAATAAAAATAAGGTACATTTCACTTGGGTGAAAATGTTTTTTTTTTCAAGCTTATATATATATATATATCCTTTGCAGGTGTTTTGAGTTGATTAGCTGATTGGCATGTCACCATATTCTAATTTGTTGAGATAGTGAATTGGTGGGTTTTTGTTAAATGTGAGCCAAAATCATCACAATTAAAAGAACCAAAGACTTAAACTACTTCAGTCTGTGTGCATTGAATTGATTTAATACACAAGTTTCACGTTGAATGTTGAATTACTGAAATAAATGAACTTTTCCACGACATTCTAATTTATTGAGATGCACCTGTATTATATATTATATATTATTTGTTGGTATTGGTGATACATATATTTGGCTATACACTGTATACCATGGCAGGACACTACATCACTCCAGGTGGCAGTAAAATTCCAAAGCAGGCTTTTCTTTACCAGTAATGACAGATGAAGAACAAAGAAGGAATTCAGAATTGAAATTAATAAATGCTTACTTGTAACTCTTGACATATAGCCTATTGAATCAGCAAATTCTTCCTGTGACCTGCAGGCACATCAAACATGACGGCGGTGATATAAAGACAAAAAACCACTTGTTCTGAGTCTTGTTGGACATTATGTTTCATGTGTCTGGAAAATGCTCCCCTTTTCTGCTCAAACACACCTGATAAGAGATATTATGATTCTCCAAAAACAAAACCTTTATTCATACAAACATATTTCAGTCAACACATCCTATTCCTATAAAGTGCAAAATACTGCATCCCAGCACACATGACACAACAATGCACTATCCATAAATGTGTCTTTCAGTATCTGGTTGACATGATTGTGCATGAATTGTGGTAAAACTTTATGCCTGTGGTTAAAACAAGATGTTCATGCACTGAGTAGCTGACTTGTAGTTTGTGCCCTCATGTAATCAAAAGAACAAAGAGAAGGTCAAAGGTCTGCACTCTCAGGAGGTTTTGCCCTGGCATGAGCGTGGGTTTCACAGTATAGCTCATCATCTATAAAGTAATATCCTTTCTGCTTTAGGTTTTCTTCACATTCAGCGCACACAAAACAGTCCGGATGACGAAACTTATCCTGAACCTTCACAACCGTCCCACTGAGAAAACAGACAGACAGAACCAATCAGAGATATCCATAGAGATAAATGTAACGTTGTTAATTCCTGAATAAAAATGAACTTCCAGTGGCCTGACTTACATTATGCCGTTACCACACTTATCACACATTGGTAGCTTGTGCAAGTTCCCCACAGGAGCAGATGACTTGGTCCTAGGGGCACGGACTTTCCTTGTCACTAATGGACGTGTACCTGCCAATCAAAAAGATCTGAATCCTAGTATCAGTCATGTTTACATTTTGTAAACCTGAATGAATCCAATCCAGTTGCAGATGTTGGAAGTACTGTTTAGTGTAGGTACCCCACTGCAATTCTAATATTTGTTTACATGTGCACTATCTATTCAGAGGAAACATGTCACTGGATCTGATATGAGCAAAACTGCCATTTTTTTCTTAATGACACCTAAAATAGGTCAGACATTTTTTCTCAAATATTCCAATGTTCATTTAATGTATTATTTAACAATATGTAGTGCACATCCAAGAGTGCATATTGCATAATGTGTATTAAATATGCAGTCTCTCTTGTTTTTGTGTCTATCTGTTACTGTTAATGTGTGTTTGTCATACCCTCACTGTCGATAAAGCTCTGTAATGCTTTAAAGGATCCCGACTGTCGCGGTTCATGGGGTTCATCCTCATCTTGATCTCTTTGCAGCATCCGATATACTTCGGACTCCTCTATATTGTTAAGTTTCCTGGGACTACACACACACACAATTTCAATGTAGGATCCAACTGGATGTTATATTTCAATAAACAATGATAACCGAGCAGTGATTCCTGATCAGCTCAGCGCTATACTGACAATACAGAAATACCCATGTTCTGATCATTAACTGATTTGAATTCCGGATCAGGTATGAAGTGTTGAACATTCACCTTTCTGGTTTGCTATGGATGAGGCCCTTGAGTTGCCCTTGTAAGGCGTCCTGGATATTGCCTGAAGAGTAAAGGCCAATAGGGGAGTTGTAGGTTGGGCTCACCACCTGACGTGTTTCATCGATGTTGGCTGCGGCCACAAAGGGTGAAGCCTTTTGATTATGGCCTGTTCCTGTTGGTCTGTACTCCTGTCAGGCAAAATTATAAGCATTAGATCATATCAAACCACATGATACAGATGGACATCATACACAAAATATGAAGACACATACTTGTCTCTCTGCCTCTAGGTTAATTTTAAATGGATGGCTTTTGTTTTGTTCAGTGACATTTGGTGACCACAGCTTAGTCTCTGGTCTGCAAAACAATAATATGATCACATTTGTAATTATTTCTTGCTTTTCCTATTTGGTCTGTTTATAATTATTCGAATACATTCAAAACCCCAAAACTCTTAAAAAGCTAATGCACATCAGCTGCCAGCTAATGTACACTTCCACCATGTGGTGCAGTGTGCAAAATGATGTGCTGCTGTCCAGCAAGTTCTACCCAAGCACATTCATATGACCTCTGACCTCTCTACGGTAAGTGTGATCTGGTAGGTGGCATCCTTGATTAGATTCTGAGCCTCAGAGTGCATCATGTTTTCTGCAGAAACTCCATCTATCGCTAAGATGATGTCTCCAGGAGAGAGGTTCACTCTGGAAGCTGTACTTCCTGGTGATATCTGAAAACACAAAAAAGTAGACAACATAAGCAGAAGCCAACTGAAAGTGTTAGCAAATGGCAAAGCTCCAGTTCCTGTTCTTAATTATGTTTAATATACAAAAGATGTTTAAAAAGTAAATTCGTCTTCTTCTTCCTCTTCTTCTTAAGTTAACTCTTATTGATAGTTCTTAGTTTTTTAGTGTGTGTGTGTGTGTGTGTGTGTGTGTACCTGGTATTCCCTGTTTTGGGGGTCAGAAGTCACCACAAGGATAGTAATACTAGTACATTTTGACCTTGTGGGGACATTTTAGTCCCCATGAGGAATACAACTTATAAATAATACAGAATTAAGTGTTTTGAAAATCTAAAAATGCAGAATGTTTTGTGTGAGGGGTAAGTTTAGGGTGAGGGTAAGGGGATAGAAAATGCAGTTTATACATAGAAAAAACATTACCTCCATAGAATGTCCCCATAAAACATGGAGACCAGTATGTCTCTCTCTCTCTCTCTCTCTCTCTCTCTCTCTC